AAGAGGAACAGGAGGAAGAGGAGGAGGGTAGCTTTATTGAGAAAGCTACGAGCTGGAGAGATGTTCCAGACATTCGGGCAAGGATCAAGAAGCCAGACGCGAAGTGCAAGGCGGCTGCAAAGAGCTGCAAGGGGAAGGGCAAGGGAGCCAAGAAGAGCGACAAAAAGTTGGCCGAGGAAGAGTCGACCACGAAAGCTTCCAAAGGGAAGGGCGAGAGAGCTACGAAGGACGCTTCATCGGGGAAGGCCAAGAAAGCCAAGAACGATGCCGACGAGGAGCCTGCGTCGGGGAAGATCAAGAAAGTGAAGAAGGATGCCGACGAGGAGCCGGTGGGGAAGATCAAGAAAGCGAAGAAGGATGCCGACGAGGAGCCGGTGGGGAAGATCAAGAAAGCGAAGAAAGATGCCGGCGAGAAGCCTGCGTCGGGGAAAACGACGAAAGCCAAGAAGGACGCCGACGAGGAGCCGGTGGGGAAGATCAAGAAAGCCAAGATGGATGAGAAGCCCAAGGCCTCCAAAGCCGAGGGGGGTTCCGACGGCGAGAAGAAGAACAAACGGCCTACGAAGAAGGACAAAGAGCAGGCCAAGTCCGACAGTGACGACGTCACGTACATGCTTCAGTATGCTAACTCGTTTGAGCACCAGCATGACCTGGCCGGCCTCAAGAAGCAGGTGCGCGATTGGCTGCCAGCTTGGACTTTCGTGTACCCGGACATCTACTGGACCACCGGCCAATGTGACTTGATGCTTCTGTGGTCTGACAAGGGCGGCAAGAGACGAAAGACCACGGTGGGCTCTTTCTCATTCGGTGGGAAACCGACCCAGCTCCTTGTGGCGATCTCTTGCAGCCTCTTGCTAGTGTCTTGTTTCGATTAATTGCGCATGCCCACTTCACATCGTGTCCCCTGCAAAACCCAAACTCAACCCTACAATTGCCGAGGCTTGGTACATGGAGGACAAGAACATCTATGAGGCTGGATCCGACGAGCTCTTTGCCAAGGCTTGCTCGCTTAAGGCGTCAGCACGCCTTGCTTTGATGCAGCTGGGAACCGCTGATGCGTCCGAACAGTGACTAGTCTAGTCTAGAGTGTGCTTCCGATCGATGTTGGGAGTTTTACTGGGGCTGTCGATGCACAGCCGATGTGTCAGGGAAGCAGCTTTCGCGAGTTGGCTTGATGTTCACCCCAAGCTTTTTGAATATATGTGGTTTGTTCTCTTTCCCTTAACCGCTAACCTGGTACATCTACTTAAATAGTTTTGGTTGTAGCAAACCAATGTATCCCCAGAACGGTGCACCTCAAGATCCGACGAAAGTGCTCTTGGGGAAACCTGTCGCTTCGTGACGGGACCTATAAGTCCGAGTCCTAGGGGCTTCAAGTGTGCGAGCAAAAAGATCGAGGGCCTATTCGACCTCTTGCATAACTTCTGCAGATTGCTGATTGATCTGATGAAGCATGCAACTATGACACAGACTTGTTCGCAGCATTCTGCGGCCCAGGTCACAACATGGATGCCTCGGCCAAAGATCTCCCACACGAGGCGGGCCCGCAAACGCATCTCGAAGAGGCGTCGCGATCCTGTCATGTTTTGATTGAAGCACGTGCTTTAGGGTCGGGCCCAGTCTGCGCTGAGATGCACACACAAACGTGCACATGTTGCTGTTGGTTCTTCCGAGCTTTTTCTCGAGATTCGAGTTGTGATTTCGTCGTGAAACCATGGCTTTGGAAGACGAGCTGGCCTGGAAGCTGTTTGCCTTGGGGGCACCACGAGCGACTTGAGCGAACATGCTGTAACGTTGCCTGAACAAGTTGCCTCGTGCCAAAGCAAACAGTGCTTCATCCCAGGAGTTCATCAAGATCGTGCTCCTAGTGATTTGGTCCGAGGGCGAGCAGTACAACCTTGCCCAGGCAAGGTTGGCGGGTTCACGTGATGTGTGCTGCTCGGTGTACCAAAGCAAGCCTTGAAAGCCGTACCTATTGCAGACCTTTGAGTGGCTGGAGTTCTTCGCTGGAGCTGCGCGATGTACATCCTGAAGTTAGAACACGAGCAGCTGCCGCTGCGAAATTCGATCTGATGTACAACAACCCCCGCCAAGGACATTCTGACTATATGGACATCAATGACGACTCGGGTTTTGTGCGCCTTGTCCGACGGTGTCCACGACAGCCCAGATTCATTCCTTAATTCAGCAGCCGGGTCTTATTAGCTCAAGGGTCGCACTGTTCTGGGATTGATTACTATTACAAACGACAACAGCAACTACTGTTGATATTGCTACTACCACTGGTACGGGTAGAACTAGTGCTGCTATGG